ACAAAATTCGAATTTTTTTCTCTAAAAAAAAAAATTCATAATCTTTCTTCTTTTGTTAAAATTAAATATTTACATTGATCATCGAAAAAAATAGAATTGCCGTCTCATATCTTCATTTATGTAAATATTGAAAATGTATTTTTATATAAGAAATTTATTTCGTTATTTAAAACATTCATTTTAATTAATGGAACATTTTCAATATTAACTCATGATGAAGAATAAATTAGATTCAGATGTGGGTGTAGATTTGATCAAAAAAAGAGGTCAATGTCTATTCACATCCTATTAGTTCAGTTGATTGCTCTAAGACAAATATTCATATTGTTGAAAATCTGCATTAAGTTGCTGAAAAACAAAAATGAAATGTAGAAATATTGTAGAAAAAGTTTCAACATTAAATTATCGACATTACATTTTGTTACCTATTAAGTAATTATCAAAAGTATTGTATTTGTGCAAATAGAATCCCTATGAAATTGAGTTGAAATTTGTAATAAATTATTTTCAGATTTAGTTGAACACATTTTAAGACTAAAATTTATATTTCATATTAATACTTATGATTAGTTTTTGACAAACTTCAGATATCTTTCTCATGAATTCCTATAAGATTAGACTAGTTTATAATATACATAATATTATCATATAAGAATTTTAAAAAAAAAGAAAAAAAGTATTTTCTACTACGAATTAAAAAAAATATTCAATTTAAAATATAAAAAACGAAGAATGTAATAAGATTTTTCATTAGTAGAAAATAATAATAATTTCGATATAATTTTATTTTGTATTTTTTTTAAAACTTTATTATAATAAATAATAATTTGAATATCTTGTAAAAGCAAACATTTTATCGAAGATAAAAACTATCATCCGAATTCGTACTATGAAAAACTAATAAATTGAAAGAAATCAGAAATTATAATTGAAAAGTTTAATCGTCATTACTTTTCGGTAGTTGTGGAGAGGGTTAGTTGATATTTCTTTTATGTCTTTAGTAAACATTTATATGAGTAATGTTCATCTAGATAGACGTTTTCTCTTATATATTTAATGATTATTTCAATTTTTTTTATTAATAAATTTTATGTAAACATCAACTATTTTTTTATCAGAAAAGATAACAACGAAATTTGTTCATTTAAAATCTTAAAAATTCATAAGATAAATAATAAAATGATTTATATTGTATCAAGTAGACGAATTTATTTCAAAAAATTCTTTATGTTTTTGAGAAAATTAACAAAATGTTATAGAATATCTTTAAAGTTTTTAGATTAGAAAAATATTCTAATTTAACATTTAATTGAATACTTTGTTATTGACTTGTTTTTTACAATATAAAAATACTTTAAAGCATCTTCAGTACGTATTTCATAAATTTTTTGATTATTATCTGAAAACAAATCGTAACGAGTAATCGAGTTTATAAGTTTTGTCGCGACAATATTCTTTTGAAATATATTAAATAATTGAAAATCATTCTTCGATAATAAATTTTTATTCCAATTGAAGTCTAAAGGAGGATTGAGACCAACATCCTATTCATTCTTGAATAAAATTCAATACTTTTAATAATTCTAGATTGATAAAGTTTTATTTTGAGTATTATTATGTTGTACTTCATTTGATAAAACTTTGATAGAAGAAGAACATCTCTCAATAAAATTTCTCCTATCATTTATTAAGCAAAACTTGCTAAGCAATCGTTATTCTAACAAAATTATGTAGGAATATCGGTAATATCTCGTTTCAGCATTATCTTTAATCTTATAATATTTCTAAATTAGTATTAAAAAAATCAAGTAGAAAATTACAATAGATAGAATATAAACAATATTATTTTCATTTAATTCATTTTCATTATCAAATTAGAAAATTGTTCACATAGAATTAAGAAGCTGATGAAGAAAATCTAAGAAAAAATTAGGATTCGAAAAATATTTCATATAGTTATTGACACTTAATGTTTTATTACTGTCGTCTTTTTTTTTGCATTTTTATTCATTTTTATGATAAATTCGTCCATGATCTAATGAAAGGAAAGATGTTACTCTCAAAATTCATGAACTATAAAATGATTCTATAAACAATTCATAGAAAATCAATCTGATTTTTTCGACTTTGAAACTGATGAAAGCGTCTTCACCAAAAAGAAATGTTTATGAGACATTTTCAAAATCAGCATTATGCATAATAAATGCATATGAGTCAATATATCTTAAAGACGATTTGAACTGAATATTGTTTAAACATTTTCAAAGTAAGAAAAAAATCATATTGGTTTTCTATGGAATTTTCATCTAGTTGAATTGAATTCTATGAAATTCGAATAGCGCACGTTGCCTTTCATCAAACAACATACTAAATCAGATATTGACAATTATGCAATGTTGTCAATTAATTAGTCATTGATATAAGTTCGAAATTTTTGATACAGGGACTGACTCATCTGGATCTTCGAAACAATCAAATTAGAGACAATGGGGCAGAGTATTTAGCGACGGCACTAAAAGACAACAAAGTGACATTTTTTTATGCCTCTTTACTTTTCAGATCATGTTGATTTTTATTTATTTTTTTAGACACTACAGGCTCTATATCTCCAGGATAATAATAACCTCTCCGCTAACGCCAAGGCCCGTTTAAAACAACAAGACAAACGACTGCAATTCAATTAGTTAATTGTAGATTTTTCTTTTGATGAAATAAAATAAAGTTTAATTGATTAATTTACGCTACTATAATCGTAAGGGTGGGGGTGTTACCTGAGAAGAATCAGGTTGACACCAGTACCCATACCCACGATAGTATCGTTCATAATAACTTTGACATCATTTGACTTTGTTTTTTTAGATTTCTAATTGATATTTTTATTACAAAATTATCACTCGTAGCGAATTTTATTTTCTGCCAGAATGCGAATATCCGTCCGCACTTTTGCAGGAAAAGAAATACCATTAGAAGTTCAACCTGGTGACACCATTAGAAGTGTCAAGGAAAAAATACAAGACAAAGAAGATATTCGGATAGATTTACAACGACTATTATTTGGGAATGAACAGCTTGAAAATAATCGACCACTATCCAGCTGTGAAATTGGAGAAGAATCGGTCCTTCATCTTGTTCTGCGTAAGTATTTCATTTAGATTATACTTATCAAAAAAATATTGGCATTTAGTTAGAAATAAAAAAGTTCAATGTTTTTCTTTTTGTATCGTCCTGAACCCTGTGTTTCTGAAACGGCAGGTATTTTTAAAAAATTCGATTCCACATTTTTCATACATAAAAAGTATATGTTTTATGAAAAATGATACCTAATTTTTCGCTCCCCTTGTAGTAAACTTACTTGTAGCTACAAAAGTTGATTCCAGTGTCAAATTTTCACTACGGATCTTGACGATCTCTAGTCAGAGAATCTGATATTTTAATAGCATCATTTAACTGGTAGCTTTTGATTCGATTTCTTTGTTCTCGATGAAAATATTCTTCAATAACCATTGATTTTATTGTTGCCATTATCATCTAAAAGATTTGAGAGAAGAGTTAAAAAGAATAAGATACAAAATGACAACAGAAAAGTGTTCTCTTCTTTTTTTGAATGAATTCTCTCAATAACTTTTGATTTGATTTTAGTCTATAATATTTCTGAATATAATCGAGTTTTTCTTCCATAGATGACGAAATTCGATAGGATATTCACCATCCCATACAAAAGTTTCTTTGAACAACATGAAGATTTGAGCATTTGTAGAACGTCATGAACTGATCTTTTTGGTATAAGAAAATATTTTATTCATTTTTTTAGTTAAACTTTACATTCTTTCTAAATGCTGGAGTTTCATTCTTTCACAAATCTTGAAAGTGAAAATGTGAGTGTGAGGATATGGGTAGAATAAGTATACCTAAAGAATTAAAAGCTGAAAAAATTTATTTAAATATTGTTTTTGCAAATTTTCGTGTAAAACATCTTGAGCTTTGATGAAAATTGGGTGGTGATGAATAGAATTCGAAATTTGATGATGTCTATATTAAGATTGGAAGTATCTATAAGGAGAAATGTCTAAGAAACATGATTCTTAAATTCTATCATCCTCAATTATTGGTTCCTTTTCATTTTTGAATTCAGGAGCGGAAACGAATAACAAGACCATCGCTGGAGACTATGGACGAGGCAACACTGCCAA